ATTTAGAACAAAGTTTAGTTGAATTTGTAAAAGAAAGACGATCAAGTGGATGTTCTAGAAGTTCTTCGAAATTGGGCTTATTTTTAATTTTTTAATTTTTTTCGCCAAATAAAAAAATGCGGATATTGATAAACATAAATTTATTGACAAAAAATGTTACAATTATTATTGTTAGATTTAAAATGAAAATTGGGATAATATCTTTCTTATTTATAATACGCACCCCTACTATCACCTGTAATTTACAGTAAAAAAAATGCTTATTCTTATCGAGAAAATACGGTAGCTGCCTTTTATTTGTTTCACTATGTGAATGATTTTATAGTATGTAATTCACACCAGAGGTTGCCAAAATTGCTTTGTGGAAACGACTCCCAAGTGGATGCTTCCCCGATTACTGCAATCTTAATCTGTTCAAATCTAGGGTTAAACAATAGGTTCCCCACATATGCTCATAAACTGAACCTCCTACTTTGTAGCCCTCTCCATCGAGTGGCTCTTGGGGTTTGTATAGGGTGAACATTATTGAAGTCAAATTGCATCAATGGGTTGACTTAAGAGATAACCTCCTATCCGAGTTTGAATTTCAGTATTTAACCCGAGGTACTCAATGTGTAAGCAGATAATTTTGATACGTCTAGGACGTGCACGCGTGGGAAAAACCGTATGATATACATATATGTGGGTGGGGGTGCGTATATAGGTACCTCCAAAGTAAAACGATGAATCAGGTTTAAAATTATTTTTTAAAGATGAACAAACTTTCTTGAATCTTTTATTTAAATTTTAATTTCAAGCTAATAGATTAAATTTATTTTTTTCAATAAGCAAAATTCTTTGCTGTATTTCAAAATTAATTTAAATCGTTTGGAAATATTTTTAATCGCTAACAATGACTGGTTTAGCAATTTTTAGCCTTATTTACAATTCTGTCAACATAATCCTCTTTATTAAAAATCTTTCAAAAATAAAAAAAATACTTTTTTAAAACTTTATTTGAGGAAGATTAACTGACTTAAAGTTTAATTAATCTGATTTCGAAAAAATATTACTTTTAGTTTAAAATAACACAGAAAATCAATTTTTAACACGTAGATGGGTGTTTTATGATGTATTGATAACTATCTCGATAGACTTACGTTTGGGAATTTTTTCTACGGAATCTTGGGAATCTATAAAATTACTTTAAACATTTGTTATGGATGACTAGGTTGGTTGTATTTTAGAATTTTTAAAAATATGTTGCATCACTGAAGTGCATATAACAAATATTTAATGCTATTTTACAGTTCTACCAATTTTCAGTCAGCTCCTTTATACTGAAACACTTGTTTTACAAAAATTCCATATCCACAACGGATAGATTTAATATTTGAAAATAACTATAACAGAGCGCGTTCGCGCGTTTTTTTTTTTAATTGCCATCACAACGGAATTCAGATTCCATTACACAGCGAGACCCAGTTGTAAATACCAATCTTATGAGGTTATCAACGATCTTACATTAAAAAATAATATGTCGTAAGTCACGTCACAGTACATTTGGCTGACCAGGCAGTAGAAAATCCATAACCAGCGAACCTGGGAGATAAATATCCCTCAACAGTCAATGGCCGACAGCTATTGTCGGTCTGATGTGGATTAATGCATATTAATTACAGCAATACTCATTTAATGAGTCGACAGCCATCATACATATATATATATATATATATATATATATATATATATATATATATATATATATATATATATATATATATATAAATATATTATTAAAAGAGGAAGAAGGAAAAAGAAAAATTTCAATATAAGGTTTTAAAAATATATAATATTAATTTATTATTTATATTATCTTCATTATTTATTTAAAGCACATTGGTTTGGAAATTCTTGCAAAAAATCATATAATTGTCGGAGTTTAATGAAACTTTCAAGACTTATTCACAAATGAATTAAATAACTTTTGAAATATTTATTTCTTTTAGAAAATCTGGCTAAAAATATATATTTTTACACGTGTTACCCTACACTTAAAGAAATTCGTTTTTGTAGTGATTAATGTTTAATTTGTCATAAGGAAAATTCCTCGGAAAATTTAAATCATTAATATTTTTGATCAAACATGACACCAGATTGATAAAATTTTCTCTGAATCGGAAAATAAAAAAAAATCAACAAAAACTAAAACATTTTTTAATTAGAAATGTTTTTAATTGCTTTTTTGAATAAAATATATTATGGACACAAATACATATTTTTTTGATGAATAATGAATATTTATATGAATTGTTTTAATTAAAAAAAATAATTAATTAGAATTATAAAGTTTTAAATCTTTTAAAGTTCAGTATTAATTTCTGGCGGCCAAGTGATATTGTTAGTAAATAAAAATATATATTTACCAATCCTCAATGGAAAAGCTTACTACAATTTAGCGATCCCTATTATTTTAAAAATAATTTTTTGGGAGTGCGTATAAACGTGATGAGTTTTGTATATACCCGACATAATCATAAAATAAGATCGGTAAGTATCGGCCAGTCAGTTGCCATGCGTGAGACACGCATAGGCGATCATGTATCTTTCGATACATGACTGACGAGACAGATTTCTTTCCCGCAGTAGGTTACCATTTCTTTCCGCGGTAGACCGGTTGCCGTCCAAGGTTATAGAAACGGGTCTGACCTGCTATTTGCCTATAGCTGGGAGAAGAAGAGGATTCATACCTTTCCCAAGGGTATTAGCACGTAATTAGAATGTAATCCATTACTCCACTAAATTTAAAATGTATTGTTACTTTTCTTACATTTCCACAACAAGCGTCTTTGTAGGTACTTAAAAAATCAATAGCATATTAAAATATTTTAATTTTTTTAAATTACTGGATAGTTAAAATATATATATATATATATATATATATATATATATAATTATTTATTTAAAAATATGATTCCAACTCGCGACATAAGAGGTCTCATGTTTCAAAACAAGAGCCGAAAAATTCAATATAATTATTTGAATTAAATTGAGTTAAAGTAAGCTCTGTTCCATCTTCAAGCGAAATTTTCTTTGGAATAACGTATTTCTGAAATTTACGTGTTTTAATAATTGAAATCAAAATTTCCATGGTAACACTAGGGCGAATTGTTTAAATTGGGTAGGCGTGTGTTGGGTGTTAATAATAAGTATCAGTATAGAGTTACTTTCATAGATGTCAAGTCAGGGAAAGGTGGGGGTGTCTAAATTTGAAACGAAAGATGTATTCACCCTAGTCTGGTATGCGTGTCTATGGAGATTTATTTATTTATTTTATTTTATTTTTTTATGATGAAAGGGATTTGTGCATATAAAAAACTGCCGTAACGTTTGTTTTTTGACGACTTCATAAAGGGTTATCTTTTTTGTAGGGTATTTAAACTATTTATTTGGGCTATGGATTATGAAAGTTATTATATTGTATGCTTGTTCTTAACTAATTATTCAGACCATGAATATGATGATTGGGCTATGGATTAATCAAGTTATTATATTGTATGCTTGTTTTTAGCTAATTATTCAAACCATAAATCTGATGATGACGACAAAAAACCGTTAACTCATGTCTATTGTTTAATAGATTATTATTGTTTAGAAGCTTAATGTGCAATTTCTCATGGAGGCACAAAGGGCATGGGTCATCCCAAGTTTTACATGTTCTAGCCCTGTTATATATATATATATATATATATATATATATATATAACATTTTGACATTGTGTTCGTCATGTAATTTTACTACAGTTGTTTCCCCCCTTACATAAATTGCGCAAATATCAAGTTATCGATAGATGTGTCAATATTTCATAGAAACGCTCATTTTAAAAATGCTTTTCTGCGATATTTTAAACTAAAAGTAACTCATATTTGTTTTCTTTCATTTTAATTAAATTTTAAATCAGTTAATCTTTCTCAAATAAAATTTCAGAATAATATATTTTATATTTGAAAGATTTTTTAATAAAGAGAATTATGTTGTGTTGACAGTTTTTTCAATATGGACGATTTTAGCGATTTTACTGATAATAAAAATATAATTCTAATCAATTTAAATTCGGTTTGCGTTACAACAAACGTATATATTGTTTATTTACACACACACCCCACACACATACATATATATATATATATATATATATATATATATATATATATATATATATATATATATATATATATGAATATTTTACATTGCGACGCGGAAATTTCTGTTTCAGGACTTATTGAATCACAATTTTTCTGTTAAGCTTGGAGAGTGATTATACATTCTTATTGCTTAAAGAAGAATCCAATAGTGAAAAAAAAAAAAAACCTCGGAGAATTCCAATAAGATATCTTTAATCATTTCTAAGATACAACGGTTTAAAGTTTAATCTAACAAATTGACAATTTTGCTTTTACAAGATTGGAACAATTTTGCTGTTACATCCAGTATATATATATATATATATATATATATATATATATGTGTGTGTGTGTGTGTGTGTGTGAGAGAGTGTGTGTGTGTCTATGTGTGTGTGTAGCATCAATATTCCGATAACTGATAATCCGTTGCTGTTAGTAAAGCTTTTAAAATAAAACTTTACTTGAAGTTCCTTGTTCCATTCACCAGGTTCTAATCGAGAAGGTATCAGAGTCGAAGATAGTCGGGAGCTGAGGGTTTTCTTTTTTGACTTTTTATTTAAAAAAAAGATGTTTTGCTGAACATCTGGCAGTAAGTCAAAACACGATCACCGAAAGCCGTACTTACTGAAATAAGAACACCCCCCAACCCCTACCAATACCTGACGTCTCCTTTTGCCCGAATTCTCATATTTTGGGCTTCTCACTTGTTGAAGACTTTGTAATGTTTTTTGTTCTTTTGTTGTTAGCTGTTTTTGTTTTTTATTCCATTTTTTTTTGTTTTTCTTGCTTTCCGACTTTGTTTGTTGTTGCTAACGCCGGTGAGAGTTAAGTTTGTTTTACGCCACATCAGAGAAGAAGAAGAAGAAGAAAAGAAGAAGAAGAAAAGGAGAAAAAGAAGAAGAAAAGAAGAGGAAGAAGACGTGGAAGAAGAAGAAGAGAAGAAGAGGAAGAAGAAAAGGAGAAAAAGAAGAAGAAAAGAAGAGGAAGAAGACGTGGAAGAAGAAGAAGAAGAGAAGAAGAAGAGGAAGAAAAAGAAGAAGAAAACAAGGAAGTAGAAGAAGAAGACGAGGACGAGGAAAAAGAAGAAGAAGAGCAAGAGGAAGAAGAAGAGATACAGAAAAAGAAATATAATGAGATGGGGATGAAGCGAAGGAAAAGCAGATACGAGGAAAGAGAAGTAAATGATGAAAAAAGATGAAGAAAAAGGTGAAGAAGAAGAAAAAAGAAGAAAAGAAGAAGAAAAAGAAAAAACTAGGAAGAAGAAGAAAAGAAGAAGACGTGGAAGAAGAAGAGGAGAAGAAGAAGTAGATGAAGAAGAAGAGGAAGACGTTGAAGAAGAAGAAGAAGAAAAAGAAGAAGAAGAAGAGATACAAGAAAAGAATATATTGAGAAAATGAGGATGAAGTGAAGGAAAAGCAGACACGAGGAAAGAGAAGTAAATGAAGGAGAGGAAGAAGAGAAAAGGAGGAAAACAATAGGAGAAAAGAAAGAGAATCTAATACATAAAAAAGGGAAGAGCAGGAAGTAGGAATAATAGAATAAGAAAGAATATATGGAAGAAAAATTCGAGAAGAACTATAAAGAGAAGAAAAGAAAGAAGGAGAAAGGAAAAAGAAAGAAAAAGAAATAGATAAAGGAAGACAAAGAGGAGGAAAAAGAAGAGCGGGAGCATAAGATTCCAGGGAAGAAGAAAAAGATGTTATATGGAAAGAGAAGAATAAGAGAAAAAGGGTAGAAAAGAAGATGAAGAAGAAGAAAAAGAGGAGGAGGAGGATATAGAGAATAGATGTAGAAGAAGTAAACAAGAAAGAAGGAAAAAGAGAATGAAGGTAAATAAAAGGAAAGAAAATGGAGAAGGAGAAGTAAATAAGAGAGAGGGGAACAAGAGAAGAGTAAGAAGGAAAGAGGAAGAAGAAATGGAAAATAAGTGAAAAGAATAGAAAAAAGTTGAAAAGAAATGTGAGTGATGGGTAGATAATTAAAAACTGAAAAATAAAATGAAAGAGAGGTCGTGAAGAAGAGGAGGGAGTAGAGGAATGAAAGAATTGGGGGAGGGAAAAAGAGGAAAATGTAGAGAAAGAGAAGGTGGAAGAAAATAAGAGGTAGAAAAAAAGGAAAAAGAAAAGAAAGAAATAGAGGAGAAAATATGGAAGAAGAAAGAAAATGGTGTGGCAGGAAGATAAAAGGAAAAATCGAAAAATAAAGATGAAGTCAGGAAGAATAAGAGGAAAACGAGAGAAAAAGAAAAGAAAAGAAAGATTAAAGAGAAGGAAGATGAAGTATGAAGAAAGGACAAGGAAAGAAAGAAAGAGGAAAAGGAGGAAAAGAAGAAGGAAAGAAGGAGAAAAGGAAGAAGGGGGAAAAGAAGAGAAGAAGAAATAAGAAAAGTAAAGTAAGAAGGAAAAAAAGATAAGGAGAAGAAAAAGGAGAAAAGGGGAAAGGAGGACAAGAAAAGTTAGTAAGAAAGAAGAAAAGGAACATAAAGAATAGAAAGAGAAAAAGAAAGAGAGAGAAAAGAGAGAAAATGAGAGAAGGAGAAGGAAAAGAATCGAAGGGAGACGAAGGGGGATAAAGAGAAGAAAAGAGTGGAAGAATGTGTAGATGGGATAGTAGAAAAAAGTGAAGCGAAAAACGACATGGGGGCAAGAAGAAGAAGAAGAAGAAGAAGAAGAAGAAGAAGAAGAAGAAGAAGAAGAAGAAGAAATGGAAGAAGAAGAAAGAACAGATGAAATGGAAAAAAAAAGAAACGGAAGAAGGAGAATAAGAAGAAGAAAAAGTAATGAAAAACGAAGAAATGGAAGAATAAATGGAAGATGAAGAAGAAGAAATAAAAACGAAGAAATGGACAAAGAAAAAGAAGGAGAAGAAATAAAAAACTAAGAAGTGGACAAAGAAGAAAAAGACGCAGAAGAAGAAGAAATAAAAAAAAACGAAGAAATAGACAAAAAATAGGAACAAGAAGAAGAAATTAAAAACGAAGAAATGGAGAAGAAGAAGAAGAAGAAGAAGAAGAAGAAATAAAAAAGAAGAAATGGACAAAGAAGAATAAATGGAATAGGAAGGAGAAGAAGAGGAAAAAGAAGAAATGAATAAAGAAAAAGAAGAAGAAAATAAAAACAAAGAAATGGAAGAAGAAGAAGAAGAAGAAGAAGAAGAAAAAGAGCGATGTATATAGAAGATTAAAAAAGAATATTCAAGAATTAGAAAAAAGAACAAAAACAATAAAATAAGACAAAAAGTGAAAGCAAAAACAAAACAAAAAAAATCCCAAAAAACAAAAACCCAAAAAAAACCCAAAAAAACAAAACAAAAAAAACAAAAAACACACCAAAAAACCCCACCCAAAATCTGTTGTTTACACATCGATCATCACTTTTTGAACCGAGACAAAAAAAAGGAAAACAAAAAAAAAAAAAAAAAATGAAGTGTACCCCTGCTGGAATGTTGACGAGAGTCTCGAGATTCTAAGGGCAAAGAAAATGGAAGCCGGATGCAAGAGAATTTTATGAAAGTTACATTTTAGTTTCATGTTCGTTTTGTTTTCCCGCGCACGGGTTACCAAGTACGTACACCTTTCCGATTTTTATTTTTATTTTATTTTTTTGTTTCTTCTTCTCTTCATTCATTAAATAATGGACTTTTAGTGCCACAATCAACTCTTTTAGCAATCGTCTTGTAAACGAATCTCGCAGAGAGTGCAATTCTTAATTGACACGCTCCGAATTGAACGAGGGAATATGATGTTTTCTATCATCATGCGATATTGGGCAGACATTTTACGACCTTGTGGTGGTGGGGAGTGGGGTCTGACAATAGGTAGAATCGCCATGAGTCGGGCCTTGTTAATAAAAGTAAAATAAATATTTTGAAAGCGTTCCGTGCATATACTTACCTTACTGTAGTATGAGGCAAAATCACAAGCAATAGGGCCAGGAAGATTGTGTTACGCCAATCTTCCAGATTCAAGATCTGCCTGTCTAGAAAAAGCATATACAGTCAACGACGAAATTATTCGTACACCCATCAATTTTGAATATTTTTATCAATTTCCCAGAATTTAATGCCTGTATGATGCCAGTTTTTTTTATATGTTAATAATCACAAAAGAAAAGAAAAAGGAATACAAAATTAATTGTTCAGAACAACAGATTAAAAACAACAAATTTGACAGGTAAATTATGCAAAATAGGAAAAGACAAAATTATTCGTACAGAATGAAAAATAGAAAAACTGACCAATTTTCATAATATTAATAATTAATAGCATAGTTTCTCATCTTTATAACTTGCTACAATCGTATTCTAAAGTTTTTGATGAGATTTAAACAATGATTTTCTTCTATTCTTCAAAGTTACATGTTATAATTCCTGAAGGTTTTTTTTGGTGACCGACGATTTATTCGAACTTTCCATTCTTGCCATAGATTTTTAATAGGATTCAAGTCAGGACTCATTGAAGGCCATGGCAAAACTGTAGTCTTCTTTTTCTGAAGCCACGCAGTCACTGATTTAGATGTATGTTTGGGATTATTATCTTGCTGGAAAATAAATCGCCGACCTAGATGAAGATTTTGCGCTAATAATTGTAGATTTTCATCCAGATTTTTTATATAGTCCGCAGATTTCATTATTTTTCGTATTGCAATTAATTGTTCAGTTTCACTTGAGCTAAAACAACCCCAAAATATCATCGAGCTGCCTCCATCTTCCAATGTTGCCTTGCCTTTCTTGCGCCAAATCTTCTATACAAAAGCTCAATTTTTTGTTTCATCACTCTATAGTACTTGTTCCCAAAAGCAATATTTTTTTTGTCCAAGAACGTTTTGGCAATGTGACATGGTGTGTGAAGAGGGGTTTATTGTGGTTTGTTTCCATACAACGCATTTCTATTTAAACAAAGTTGTATTGTGCGAGTAATTACACTGATATTCAACGTATCCAAACTTTTGGCGATGTCTTTCAAAACAACTCTTGGGTTTATATTAACCTCGCGACACCGTATTCGTATAGTTCTCGGTGACAATTTGGGTTTTCTTCCACGCTTAGGCAAATTCTCTGTCGTGCCAAACTGTTTAAACTTCTTTATAACAGACTGTACCATAGATCTCGGGAAAGCTAACCAGTTGGAAATGGTTCTATAATTATTTCCCGACTTCTGTCTCAAGTCAACGCCTAAGCTCCTTTGTCTTCCCTTAAGGTAAGGTGATACCTTATGCACCACATAATGTTCTTTGCTGGAATTATCAGAAATATTCTACTTAATGAATATTCTAGAAGGCTTCACTGATAAAAATAATTATTTAAATTACTTATACTTACACCAATCCATCAATTTAAACGATGTTTTCTACTGTTGGAATAATTTTGTTGTTTCTTATTTTGCATAATTCGCCTCTGAAATTTGATGTATTTAACCTGTTGTTCTGAAAACCGAGTTTTATATTCCTTTTTTGTACTATTAACATAAATCCGGGCATTAGATTCTTAAAAATGGATATAAATATTCAAAATTGAAGGGTGTACGAATAATTTTGTCGTTGTCTGTATGTATTTATATTTTAGAGAAAAGAAGTATGACAAAGTGGAAAAAGTTTTCGTGTGACACATTTCGTCATTTAGGACATCATCGTTGCTGCAACTACACATTCACACGAACGAGCGACGCTGGGAATTTTAAATTTAATTTTTTTTTTATATGTGTTTCGGGTATAAAATCTTGCCGATTTAACTTAGATTTTTTGTCTTTTTGCTTATGTTTCCATCACTTTTGTTTTTAAATATCCCACAATGTGATAACAGAAGATCTGCCAAGAAAGGTGAAACGTTGTAAGAACCTGGACGTAAATTTATTGTGGATGGTCTAGCGATTAAGGAACCTTCTAAATATTTTCGTCTTAGTAAATAGCTTTTTTTTTTTAATTACAGTAGCATTTTTTAAATCAAAATTATGGTCAGTAACTTTATGGTGCGCAACTAATACGTTTAATGTTATTTTGTAAAAGAAGCCTTTCGTGTTCACATAATCGTTTTTTGATTGCTTTATAAAATTGTTTTATTTAAATCTTAATAAAATTCTTTGATGATCTTTTATTTAAATTTCTTTAGGTTATCCTTTAAAATTCCCAGTGTCTCTCGTTTGTGCGCATGTGCAGTGGCAAATCAGAAGTAAATTCAAGTCAGTAATTCTGTTAGTTTTATTTTATTTATTTTTTTTTATTACTTTTTTCACAGTTTTTTTCAGTTTTTAAACTGCCTTTTTACTCTTTGATTTTCCACGTTGTCATGAATTTGGTTAAATCACAAGTAATTTTCGTTTTCGTGAACCAATTGTAATGCAAAATATATCATTCTAACTACTACTAATACGCTGCAGCTAAGTAGAAATATGTATAAATTGGGTGTATATTAACATACCTTAGTATTTGCGCGCGGCAGTGGCGGCGTACATAGAGGATTAAAGGAAAAAAAATATTGTGTTTCAAAACAACATAAGGCCACATCTTCTTCTTTTATGTGTCGTATCCCTTCAGGGCGTACGAGATCATGGCACTCCATATCTTCCTGTCCCATGTAGCGCTTAATAAGTTTTGTCTTTTTGTTATTTCTCTCAAACCTTGTTCTACCATCCATTTACTCAAGCTCATCAAGTATGTTACGTGCTGCTTTCGTCTGTCAACCTCGCGATAAATCTGTCCTGTGAGTATCAGATTTTCCAAGCCCTCCTTCCTCATTAACTGCCCCAGAAATTTCAACTACTCCTTCCTGGTGTTAAGTATAAATTTCCTTTTTGTCTCCATTTTCTCTAAAACCTCGTCGTTGTTGGCATGTTCGGTCAATGGTATCCTCAGCATCCTTTTGTAGAACGATATTTCTGTCTATATTTCTGAGATGTGGTATTTACATTATTCGTACTATTATCCTCATCTTTGTCACCATATTTATTACAGCGTTTCGGCCATTGTACGCTCCGGCCTTCTTCAGGTGGTTAGAATGTCAAACTGAACCCTTTATTTCGCTCACTTGGGTAGACTGTTCTAGTTCAATACCCGGTTAAGGCAGTGGAAAACTTGGAGAGGGGAATTAACAGGAGATAACTGATAAGTGACATCCATTAAACATGGCACGTGGAACTAGAACAGTCTACCCCAGCGAACGAAATAAAGGGTTTAGTTCGACATTCCAACCACCTGAAGAAGGCCGGAGCGTACAAAGGACGAAACGTTGTAATTAATATGGCGACAAAGATGAGGACAATAGTCCGAATAATGTAAATATTAAACCAGATTTCTATAGCCTCAAGTTTCTTCTTCATCTTTGAGGACATTGTCCAACAGTCGCTGTCATACAGGAGGCCACATATCACGTAACAGTTCAGTACTCTTTTCTTTGTTTCTAACGAAATTTTCCTGTTTCTTAATACTCTGCTTAGCTTTTGGAATGCATATTTGGCCATCCGAATACGCCTTCAAATCTCAGTGTCGCACTTTCTGTCCTTCCCAGATATTTTAATTTGTATATGATATGTCCCGAAAAGGGATATATTTGTTCGAAGTAGCAAAGTGGTTTTGGACTACTGCAACTGGGTAGGACAATCTAGCACGTAACCATAATGGACGAAGACTATAGGTGTAGCCAATAGGCGTCCACATCAGTCTGAATTTATGGCTAACACCAGCCAATCATATTACTGTGAGGGGGAACGAGGTGTATGCATATTCATTACATCAGTATACTTGTTTAATTTTAGTATCCCCAATTTGTAATTTGTATTCTCAGCTCACCCTTTTGTTGATAACCACTTTGGAACATGTTTGGTCTGTGCTATCCCAGCCGCGATTTTCACCAGACATCGCACCCAGTGATTGCTGGAAAACGCTTTGATGGGGAAAGCTTCCTTTAATGAAAGCCAGATTTAAGAGTTCGTCAAAATTTTCTTTCACGTCAAAACCTGCGGGATTCTAGTCAAAAGGTATTGAAAAGCTTCCTGACAATTGGGAAGAAGTCATTGTAAATATTGGTAAATATATAATTGAATAAATGTACTTTATTTTATGAAGGATAAAGTTAAACAAAAACGGAAATTATTTATGACTCAACCAAATTACTCATTTTTGGTCTGCATTATTAACTAGTACCAATTCATCTATCAGAAACATTATTTAACTTTATTTTTTTATATTTCTAACTGATTATTATTTGGAAGTATCAGATTACAAATTACAAATCGGGGATACTAAAATTATACAAATTTAAATATCTGGGAAGTGTTCTAACAGACAGAATGACGTATTGGGATGGTCAAATATGCATCCCAAAAGCTAAGCAGAGGCAGACAAATTTCGTTAAAAGCAAAGAAAAGAGTATTGAATTATTACGTGATATCTATCCTCCAATATGGTTGGTCTCAAAAGGTTAAAACTTTCTTATCTTTATATTCTATCCTGAGGATATTCTCAGCAATCGCCAGTCTGTTGAGTTTTACCGTTCTATGTTTTTCCGCTTATTTTTCATATGGATTATTTATTATTGTTTTGATATTTAGAACGGACATAGTATTAATAGTAAACTGCAAATGGCTGAAAGGCAAAGGATTTTGTCAATTTATCATCCACAAATTATAATTAAAAAGACTTTAAACATGACTAATACTTCCAAATAACAAATTAGAAATAAAAAAAAACAGAGTTGAATAATTTTTAAAAATTTCAGTGTACGCATATACGAGGTCTGTCTAAAAAGTAACGGGACTGGGTGTGTTGTATGGGCTCTAGGTGAA